CAACTACGTTAGCCCCTGCCACTTTAGATCCTAAATCCTGAGAAGCACCCTCTTCCCCTGGTGCCTCAAGTTCTTGATATAGCATAAAACCAGAAATGAAAGAGGAGACATTACAACCGATGTCACAAGAATACAAAGGATCATAAGAATCAAGCCACACACAATTATATGCCAAGAGACTGAATAACCTAGAAGAAATGGATATAATCCTAGACACATAAAACTTATGAGGCCCAAATCATAAAAAAAATTTTGAAGAAAAATTTGAACAGCCCGATAACGAGTAAGGAGATTAAATCAGTAATAAAAATTCTCCAATTAAAGACCAGAACCTGATAGCTTCTTAACTGAATACTATCAAACATTTTAAGAAGTAATATCAATCCTCCTCAAACTATAAAAAACTCAAAAAGGAGGGAATAATTTTTACAAGATCAGCATTACCATGATCCCAAAGCCAAACAAGGACATTACAATAGATAAAAATCACAAGCCACAATTCCTGATGAACATAGATGCCAAAAATATCAACAGAATACTAGGAAACCAAGCTGGGGTTGTGGCTCAGTGGTAGAGTGCTCGCCTAGTATGTGCGAGGCCCTGGGTTCCATCCTCAGTACCACATATAAATACATAAAAAGAAAGGTATTGTGTCCAACTACAACTAAAAAGTAAATATTAAAAAAAAAAAACACTAGCAAACCAAATTCTATAACACATTAAAAGAATCACCATGATCAAGTAGGATCTACTGACAATGCAAGGATTATTCAACATACACTAAACAATAAATCTGATACACCGTATTAATAAAATTAAGAATAAGAACATACGATCATAATGATACATGTAGAGAAAACATTTGACAAAGTTTAACATCTCTTCATGTAAAATTTTCCAACAGATTAGGTCCAAAGGGAATGTACTTCAACAAAATAAAGGCGTAATAGCTGGGTGAGGTGCTGCACACCTGTAATCCCAGTGGCTCGGGAGGCTGAGGCAGGAAGATGGCAAGTTTGAAGCCAGCCTCAGCAAAAGCGAGGTGCTAAGCAACTCAGTGAGATCTTGTCTCTAAATAAAATACAAAATAGGGTTGGGCATGTGGATCAGTGGTTGAGTTCCCCTGATTCAATCTCTGGTACCCGATAGATAGATAGATAGATAGATAGACAGACAGACAGACAATCACATATAAGAAATCCCATAGCTAACATCATATTCAACTGTGAAAGGTTATAAGCTTTTCTATAATTTTGGGGATTTCAAGGATGCCTATTCTTGCCACTCTATTCAACATAGTACTGAAAGACCTAGCCAGGGCAATTAGACAAGAAATAGAAGACACCCTTGAAGGAAAGGAAAAAATGAAATGGTCTCTGCTAATGACATAGAAAACTCAAAAGACTCCACAAAAAAAACCTCTTAGATCTGATAAATGAATTCAATGAACATGCAGAATACAAAATCAACATACAAAACCTTTAATACAGTAACACCCATCTCTCTGACATGAAAGTCCTGGAGAGAAGAAAACCTGTATGTGAACACTGGAACAATAAGCCAACTTGTATTCTCATCTGAAGGCTATAACAGAAGGGTGCGATGTAATCCCAGCAGCTTGGGAGGCTGAACCAGGGGGATCTTGAGTTCAAAGCCAGCCTCAGAAACTTAGCAAGACCCTCAGCAACTTAGAGAGACCATGTCTCTAAATAAAACATAAAAGGTGAGGGGGATATGGGATGTGGCTCAGTGGTAGAGCACTTGCCTGACTCATGTGAGGCATTGGCTTGGATCCTCAGCATCCATAAAAATAAATAAAGGTATTGTGTCCATTTACAACTTAAAAAAAAATTTAAGGTGAAAGGGGACTGAGGATGTGGCTCAGGGGTTAAGTGCCCCTGGGTTCAATCCCTAGTGCCAAAAAAAAAAAAAAAGAGGTATCACTTGTGCCATAGGAGAGCTGTCTGTAGGACCAACGGGCAATTTACACTCAACAATCAAAAATGAAGCAATGGAGGGCACACACAGGTCAGGCCTGCTCTTGGAAAGGGCTGGCTCTTAGCTCAGTGTGGCATGTTGTATTTGTGCCTGAGCCAATGTTTGTCTAATAATTTGAATATTACTTACACTACCAGAAAAATCAGTCACCAGCAAGGGGAATGTGTTGCTGTGTCTTAGGGCTGAGCTCTTTATCATAACAAGAGAAGATAACATTTTCATCCAGCGTATTTTTTTGTTTGTCTTGGCTTGTTATTTTAAAATCAACAGACTCAAAATAAAGTGTTGAAGTTCTTGATATAAGCATCTCATGCTCTGTCTTTCCCACTACTCCCAAAGGATTTCGGTTGTACAGAATCCCCCACTAACAACACTTTCTGCTGAAATCTAGTTTTCCAAGGAAGAATATCCAAAAACAGAAGACACAGATCCGAGAGGCTCTTCCTATTAGAACTGCTGCTTTGGTTTAACTTGAAAAAGCCCACGCCCAGTTCCTAATGACAAACATCTGAACCACCAGGTCCTCCTGCAAGCGAGATTCTTCCTGCTCACTCAGTTCTATATGCAACTGTGGAGAAATGGAGCCTGCCAGGAGAGCAACATTCCACCAGACCTGGATTTAGCAAGACATTTCCATATCATTCTGCCAACCAGCTAGAAATCCTCCACTTCACTTGTGTAAAAATCTAACCCACCCCGCTAAATTTCCTGATTTAGAAGTCTAATTCATTTCACCACAAGTATGGCAGAAGGAAGCCCAGTACACCAGCTCTCTCCTGCTGCTGTACCCTCTGCTCCAGACCAAAGCTATTGCATTTTCATTCTGGGTGGGAAAAAAAATGGTCCAAATATGTAATGCAGATGGTGCCAGCCCAATGTTACCTTCTTCCTAATGCCACAGGACCTTGGTTGATGACACTGGAAGAGAAATAAGTTTATTGATTACACCAGCCACCAAGCTCTCTCCCCTATGAAAAACAATAAGTAGATTAATGCCATTTATTCTTATGAAATAAACACTTAAAACACAGAGAAGTCACAATTTTTAAATGTGACATACTTTCTCTATGCAATGTTTGTATTGATAACCCTCCCGAAGCTAAGGTTATGAAGCTCAGCTGTCATTTGGTACTCCAACAAAATAGAGGTAGGAAGGCTTCCAGGCACCAGTGACATGGAGAAATAGGTCATGGGAGAAAAGAAAAACAAAGTTGTTGATTGTAACACACACAAGTACACAGAGCGGTATATATATATATGCATACAAATTTCATAAAATAGCTTATGGCTTTTAAATATGCAATTAGCCCCAAATGGCCTCTCCTGGTTAATCTTCAATGAAAATTTTCCTTTCTCCTCTTTCCTGCACCATCCCAGGCTCCCCCTTCTAACTTCTTCTATATACAAATGATCAATTTATATTCTGTAATTTGTTGTCCCTTCCCCTCATCTCCCTTTCACTTTTCATTATGCCATCAGCTGTCACAGCTGTGGGGCATCCTCAAACCTACAGTTTCCCTTTAAGGTTCTAATAGGCACACACAATGCAATAGATACCACTGCATCCTCCTAAATGCTTTATTTAATTTTTATTGCATCTGAGAGAAATCTCAGATTTTCAAACTAGGAAGAGGCAGAGCTGCATCCGTGAACCTCAGTGGGAAGAGAGAATCCTGTGAAGAAGGACGTTAATTCTACTAATCAAAAGGAAAAATCCTTTTGCTATCAGACCATCCTCTGAAGGCACTTGCCTCACCAAGTAAAGTTCATGAGAAAATGGTCAAACAGCACCACTTGCTGTCAGAGCCAGTAAGTACAACAAAGCTGTACTGTGTCACCAAAGAGCAAGCACATTGGAGACTAACTCATCATTCTCCCCTCTCCTTCCCGAGTTTCTGCAAAAAGAGTGTGCCAGTGACAGGAAGACAGAGCAATTATTTTGTCACCACAACACAGATACCAGCATACACTGGGAGGGAAATGTTAATATCAGGCTCTGCTGAAAAACAGGGAATGGCTCCCAACTGAGTTCTGATACCTGAATTGACAGCTGGGAGAATCGTGCCTTATATCTGGCACATGTAAATAAAGCACTTCTTTGTAATCAAAGCACCACCCAAAACTCAAAACAAATCCAAACTTTAGGAACTGCATCTTCTAACACCTAACTATCTGGCTTTCAGAGTTTTCCAGTCAAAAAGAAACTCAGCACAAGGACGCTTTCCTTTTAGGGATCCTGTTCAGATTCATTGTCTCTTTCCCATGTGGAACATTAAAGCCATAGGGCCTTCCCATATCCCCGCCTTAGGCTTATTCACATTTAAAGTAAGATAAATCTTGAACTTTCTCCAGATGGCACGCTCAGGCAGAGATGCTTGCTTGGAGAAGTTCACACCAAACCTCTACCTTCGAGAAAGTCCAAAGGAGAGTTTTAAGCAATTATAGCTGCCATGCAATTCCCCAGGGCCTACAATTAAGAAGAGAAATCTTTGTCCTTTTGTATATGTGTATTGATGAAAGATGGAGAGTTGAAGTTCCCCTTCTAATTGGCTAATTGTTTAAATGCATTAGACATTGACTCCATCTTCATTTTATTTGGGTAGATTCGATTCAAGAAACATCTGTAACAGCTGTATCCTCCTCAAATCAAAAAGAGGACCTGGCATTGTTGTTCAAATGAAGTCGTTTTGGGGGGAGGGTAGGTAACAGGGATTGAAGTCAGGGGCACTCGACCACTGAGCCACATCCCCAGCCCTATTTTGTATTTTATTAAGACACAGGGTCTCAATGAGTTGCTTAGCGCCTCACTTTTGCTGAGGCTGATTTTGAATTCTCAGTCCTTCTGCCTCAGCTTCTGAGCCACTGGGATTACAGGTCAAATGGAGTCTTATTTCATTTTTATCTAAAATCCAACCATTCCTCCAAGTGCTATCATCAGATAAGATGGTAAGTAAACTCTAACTGGGCAAAGACATTGTTATAAAATGCAATTCTTGACGCCGTGAGGCGGCGGCGGCGCCAGCGGGCGGTGGCTGCTCTGCTCTCTACAAGTGGGTCCCACGGCGGAGCCGGTAGGTGGCCCGAGGGCCTGGCGCCATGAAGCTGTACAGCCTTAGTGTCCTCTACAAAAGCGAGCCCAAAGCAGTACTGCTCAAAGCCGCTTACGACGTGTCTTCTTTCAGTTTCTTCCAGAGGTCCAGTGTTCAGGAATTCATGACCTTCACAAGTCAACTAATTGTGGAGCGCTCAGCGAAAGGCAGCAGAGCTTCTGTCAAAGAACAAGAGTATCTGTGCCATGTCTATGTTCGGAATGACAGTCTTGCAGGTGTGGTCATTGCTGACAGTGAATACCCATCCCGGGTGGCCTTTACCTTGTTGGAAAAGGTACTAGATGAATTCTCCAAGCAGGTTGACAGTATAAACTGGCCAGTAGGATCCCCTGCTACAATCAACTACACAGCCCTGGATGGTCACCTTAGTAGATACCAGAACCCCCGAGAAGCTGATCCCATGAGTAAAGTACAGGCTGAACTTGATGAGACCAAAATCATTCTGCATAACACCATGGAGTCTTTGTTAGAGCGAGGCGAGAAGCTTGATGACTTGGTGTCCAAATCAGAAGTACTGGGAACACAGTCCAAAGCCTTCTATAAAACTGCCCGGAAACAAAATTCATGCTGTGCGATCATGTGATGCAGCCCATGGAGGCCGGCACTGGATCGTCCATCACTCATATCAGAACTGCAGTCCTGAGGAAGAAGAGATGTCCGAGAAGAGGACCTGGAGCTGTCCAGACTGGTCATTTTTATTTTGGAGTTTCCCAGAAGAAACAAGGGACAGTGGAATGGTGGGGGAAATTCAAGTTCATATGTCTGGTTGTGATTTTTAGAAAGAATTTGAGGCCCTCAAAGGTGTATTTTTGGGAAAACGAAACCATAAACTCTGAGTGGCTCCCATAGGTGCTGAAGGGCTCATTTTCAGCTAACCCCAGAAGGCTCTATGGGAAGAAATTTAGAGCCAGCTCTTTTTTGATCCTCAGTATGCCTCTGGATTTCATTTGTGCATTAATGATATTAACTCTTCAATAAGTGGGGTGGGGGAGGGGTCCCTGATGATAGGGCTGGGGTGGGCAGAATTTGAACACTTGGGGAAAGCCTCTCCTGGGGCACCATGGGGATGGGGGTGAGCCTGCTTACCACAGTGGCCAGAGTCAGGTGGTAGGCCAGCAGTTTAGGCCTAAGGCCTGTGTGGGGGCAATGATTACTAAGTCTCACAAATTCTCAACCTGTTGTTTAGCTTGTCTTTCTGTAAGGATTGGCTTCCACCAAGGGCAGGACCCATCTAAATACCTTCTACCCCGTACTATAAAGTTGACTTGTGGGAGGTGTTTGGAAGGGGCTGAGATAGACAAGATGTGAAGATTGTGGCTCTGCCATCCAGCAGGCTGGAGTTAGGCTCAGGAAAGGGGGCTCTTGTCCTGGTATTAGCATGGTTATCTGGTAGTGCCCGTCTTCAGGGGAAGATCCACACACCGGTGCCCTCAGCTGCTCAGCATGGAGTCATAACCCGCCTTGACTTGGAATTTGACTTTGAACATTAGTATCAAAGTGGTGGGTGCTGTAGACTTTCAAAACTGGTTTTTATTTGCCTCTTCACTACAAGACTGTCTTGGCAATTGCCTGGGGCCTGCCTGTCTAAATAAGTCTTTCCTGTGGATACCAGGAGGAGGTGCCAGCAGCCTGATGCCTCCCAGCACCCACCTGAACTTCCTATGGTGGGAATTATACTGACCTGACTATGAGGCCTTCTCCTGGTCAGAGGCAGCTACGGGATTGGTCTGAACTGGTGCCCGCAGGAGCCACCTTGACCTTGAGGCCCATCTCCGGAACCAGGCTGGAACAGTCCAGGGGGTGGGCCTAGGATGTGCTAAGTACCAAACCGCTTCTTCATGCCCCACTGTGCTCAAGCTCAAGATGCCTGCTCAGAGTACACCAGGGGTTCCTGTCCTAACAGAAACCTTTGCTGGAATGATACCATCTACAAGTATTGAATCAGTGTCATCTCATCCTCAGGAGCCTTATTATGAGTTTGCCCTGCTGCTCTGAGAGCCTGCATGTGGGTGTGGGGTGGGTGGCAGGGTGGGATCTGCTGTGTGTTTTGAGATCCCTATTCCAGTTTGGTTTACCAGCCATAGCCCTTTTTCCTCTGGGCACTACTGGCCAAAGGGCTTTGGTTTTCCCCGTGGAATGGCCTGCCTGTGTTTTTTTCCTACTCTCGTAGACATCATCAGTCCAGGACCCCCAGAAAGACACAGATCTAGCCTGTGTCCTGGTACCTGAAGTGGAGTGAAGTGTGCCTGGATCCCAAAAGAAGAAATAGGATGGTTCCTCTTTCCCCTTCCTGCTCTGGAGGATATTAGGAAGTAGTGTAGGTAGGTGGAAGAGGTGTGAGATTGGGGGAAGAGGAAGGGAGACTGGCCCACATTTGGCTGCCCTTCAGCAGGAAGGCAGGAGTGGGTGACTCGGATGGCTCACCCCACATTCCCCTGCTCTCTGTTATGTTCTAATGTTAAATCATTTGGCAAGAGTGTATTTTAATAACTACTGCCTAACTTCTGTGTTCTGTTTGAGAGGTTCCTGTCTAGATAAAGTTGTCTTTTGAAACTAAAAAAAAAAAAAAAAAAATGCAATTCTTAAACTTCAGTGTCTGACTGCACTTTTAATCAGTCCTCTCCACCTTGCCCCATGTATTCTCCATTAGATATCCTGTGTTAGTCAGTTTTCTGTCACTGCAACAAAATCCCTGAGATAATCACCTTATGAAGGGAAAGGGTTGATTTTGGCTCAAGTTTCAGGGGTTTCAGTCCAGGTTGCTTGGTCCTGTTGCTTTGGGCTAGTAATCAGTACATCAGAGTAGAGCAAGTGGCAAAGGAGTCCTGTTCACATGGCGGTGGCTGGGAAGCAAAAAACAGAGAGAGAGGAAGGGAGGGGTCTGAACAACCTCTTCTAGAGCATGCCCCCAGTGACTGAATTTCCTCCCAGGAGGCCCCACCTCTTAAAATTTTCACCACCTCCTACTAGCACCTCAGGCTGGGGAGCAAGCCTTTAACACATATGCCCTTAGGGGTCATTTATCCAAACCATAGCATACCCTTTCTCAAATTTAGAATCATAGAAACTGAAATATTATGCCTAAAGAGAGCCTACCAACTGCCCAATCCTATAATTTGATAAATAGAAATGAAAATGACTGGCTAGTAATTCCCACCCATGTTCAAGGACAGAGGTCCAGGACCACCAGATATGCTGAAATTGTGCTACGCTCCTGCATCCTTATTTAGGAAGCTCAGAAAACCCTTATTTTGCGTTACAGTCGATGACTTCCTTTTCAATCTCATTGAACTCTGTTCTCATACTCTATGACTGAGACATCCTGGTACCTCACTACACAATTATGGTTTTGCTATTTCAAGAAATAGAATAGACATGAGAATCCAGCATCATTCCCTATACCCAGTAAACTTGGCCTGTTCATTAGAATTTGTCTCAACTGAGCCTTCCAAGTTCTCCTGATTTTGATTTGTGCATGAATAATAATTTGTTGTGCTGGGACAGCTTTCCAGATGCTAGTAAGCAAGAACTCCCCACCCCCGCATATTGATAGTGAAATATTAAATTAAAACTGCATGAACCAATTCATGTTTATTTCATGAATTCTTATCTTCCTGTAATTATTTACAGACACAAATGATTGTTTTTGTCCTCCCATCCTCACTGACCAAGACAGTGTCTAGTGCAAAGTAGATACATATACTCAACTAATATGCTTTGAATAATGATTCCACCTACCCAGTTCAGAAATGTTGCAAAATGCCTACCTTGTTATTGATTTAACATATGGTCTCATTTATCAAAAAATCAAAATCAAGGACTACATTTTTCTTAGTTTTCAATCCTTTTTTCTAAGCAACTCTCAAACTTGGCTCATTCACATCTACCTTCATAATTAATTTATTATTTATTTGATATTTTTATTTATTAATTATTTGATATTTTTCTTTAATGGCCTCACTTTCTGAACCTAAAAACATGTCTTTTAAAAGGAAGCTTTATCAATGGGTACATTGGCACATGCCTGTAATCCCAGCAGCTCGGGAGGCTGAGGCAGGAGGATCGTGAGTTCAAAGCCAGCCTCAGCAACTGTGAGGCACTAAGAAACTCAGTGAGACCCTGTCTCTAAAAAAAAATACAAAATAGGGCTGAGGATGTGGCTCAGTAATCGAGTGCCCCTGAGTTCAATCTGCAGTACCAAAAAAAAAAAAAAAAGGAAGCTTTATTACTATGGTACTATATCCTGAAAGTCAATATCATACACAACTGTTATCTAATTCATGTGTATATGCACACACGTTGGGAAACAATACTGCATCACCTGCTGTATTCTCTCAATACCCCTGTGAGGGAGGCAGGCCAGACCTTGGGCCAGAGACTGGAGTTGCCAGCCAGACAAATATTGACTACAAAGACAGGACAATTGACCCCTAAGCTAAAGCTTCTTCTCTGCTCCCCAGATCCCTGTGTCTCCACGTGTAGCTGGCAGTCCAGAAGCACCAACATTCCCTCGAAGTTTGTTAAAATTGAAGAAGTTCCAGCCCTCCCCAGGACTACTCAATCTGAATCTGCATTTGGACAAGATCCTGTTGATTCATTTGCACAAGTTTAAGAAGTTCTAAAGTGATCGCTCTCTAATTTGGCAGCACACTGGAACCACCTGAGTTGACTTAGAAAACAATGAAGCCTGGGATCCATCCCCCCGCCCTCAGAGAGTCTGATTTAAGCATCTGGAGTTTGACCTGGACCTAGGTATTTTAAAAAACTCCTCATCTTATAAAAAGCTGGCAGGTTACAAATTAAGGAAGGCTGTACAGACAAGTTTAAGAAACACGGGTCTAACTCCGTGGTTCTAGAACTTTAGCAACGTCTGAACCATCTGGATAGTTTGTTAAGCCACAGATTCCTGACCCACCACCATTTCTAATGAGTTCAGGTGATGCTGCTACTGCTGGTCAGGAGACCTTATTTTGAGATTCCCTGCCAGATGGTCCATATAAGACAGACCAGCTCAAACTCATTCCAAGAACTCTTTTTAAGGCCCACATGCTAGCTGTAGTTGAGGTAAGCATATTTAAGGGTGAAAAAAGCTTAATTGTAAAACATTTAGGACATTTTACCTGTGATCTCACATGTTCACATTTCTCTCAATATTAAAAAAAAAAAAGCGCCACATGGTAGTTTCCATGCTTGCTTATTTTAGTCTTCATAAAATAATTTTCTGCCAGAATAAGTTCTAAACATGAACTGTATACTGGGATGTAACCCCCAGAAAAGCTCAAAGGGACTCAGCCTAGCGGGGTGCAGCCCAGGTGAGCAGGTGTAGCCAAGGCTGCTTCTGTGAAGAGCGCCCCCTAGAGTCCCAGAGTTCTCCTATAGGAAGGAGCACTGGTTCTGACATTGAGCCCAAACCAGCTTCTGTATTATCCATAGCAAGCTGCCCTAAACTGCTCTGAGCAGTCCCTCAAAACCAATGCTAACAGTGTTTGTCTCAAAGTTCTTAGCCTTTGCCTCCAATTGATTTTACAGAAACAAAGAAAAGACTGACTCCCTTCTTTTTTAAAACTCCTACTGAGTTCATAGCATGTTATCATGATCCATTTGTGCAAAGCCCCTCCTGTTTTGTTTTCCCTCTCATCTCTAATTCCCACATTCATCCTCCCTACCCCATATACAACATATATGTCCTTAAGGCTGCCTGTAACTCTGTAGAAATAGAAAGTGTTGTTTTTTGTGCATATGTGGTGTTAAGTTATATAATGGCATCATATGATATATTTTTTCTTATCATTGCACTCAACATCCTGTTTTTAAGACCTAGCCCAGCTGCTGTATGCACACCTATATGCACTCCACCCACAACATTTTAATTACTGAGAAATGGTCTGCACATCTGGTTCTCACGCTGAAATCAGTGTGCTTTTGAGT